GGTATTGCTCGTTTCTCCTCCTGACAGACACCTGTAGTGTCGGTCGGGTGTCCTTTGCTGTGCTCTGCTGTGCTGTGGCGAAAGCTTTCTTTCGCCTGCCCGTCGATGGCAATGTTGTCATGTTGTTATTGCAAATTTGCATACACTAATAATCATAATCTGCATTCTCAATGATGTTTTTGCATTTCATTTGTGTGGTGATGGAATTACTGTTCATTTTGTCAGCTGAATAAATGCAATAATTTTAATTTGATTTATTTTATATTAAATTAAATACATTTCTACACATACAGGCTTTAAACGTGACGGAATGGGGAATTAAAAGGGGTATTACAAGAGGTATTACTCGAGTAGTCCATTAAAGTTCTTTAATTCCGGAAATTTCTTAAATACAAATAAGTTTCATGTACAAAATGAATGCTGAGTGCCTGGAGAATTAATTAATTTATAAACCTTTGACAAAATGGACTCTCTTACTGGAAATTTGTAGATAAAAAACTAGGATTGTTGTAGGATTCTGCAACGGACTCAGCTCAGGCAGCGGGACGTGATAGAGGACGAGTCATAGGTGAAAAGTGAATTGATACCCCCCGCTCGCCCTATATCTGCGGAGCGTCCTGAAAAGCCCCGCCATAGAACAGCTTTTTGGTCTCTTATGCCACATCTTGGATTCTATAGTCTTTGGAATATTGTTTTAAGTTTTCAAGATCCAATATTGGTTTGGAAAAGCAAAAGAAAAGCAGTGGGGAATATGTTGTATTGTATTGCATACTTTTGGTTTATTTAAATCGAAATAAAGTCAAAATAAATTCAATTCCTTCTCAAAACAACATAAATAGTCATCCCCTGTATCGAATACCTGGTCTCCCTGTCATCGACTAGCTTCTAAGCCAAAAATTACACTTATTCAAGCAAATGCATAAGCTGAAGGTATACGACATGTGATATGAATATTTGTATAATTCGACGATTGAAATCAGTAGACAAAAGTTAATGTTCAACTTTTGGTTCATATTTAGGTCACAATTTGTTCAAATTTCATGTTATCGATCTCAAAGCAACACTGAAACTGTGCCCCATGCCTCAGAGAATCTATCGATGCTCTGCTCCTTCAACAGTCTCTCTCTCTCTCTCTAACGAAACCCTATTTCCAATCTGCTGTTCTAACCAATAAATAAAACTTGAACACAATTTAATAAAAGGTCCTCTAAACAATAAAAAGAATGAAAGGCTTTCAATAAACCCCACTTTTATTTAAAGAAGCTTTTGCTGTTGCTGTTGCTTTGGCCTCAGCTTTGTTGCTTGTAGCCCGACCTCAAGTTGCCGCCGCCTTCAGAATTCATTAACAGCCACATTCCACATTTGCCAAAGTCGCAGACAGACTTCTTATCCGCACATCTGTGGTTGCTAAGGTGAGCTATAAATGAGGTTAGCCCCCGAATGGGGTATAAATAAGCGCCCTAGCACACACGCCATGTACACAGATACAGATACAGATACAGATACAGATACAGATACAGACACAGACAGCCACATGCTGGGAGCAGTGGGAGGTCATATCATGGACCCTCCACCGACTGGGCATTGCATTTTTAGACTCAATTACTCAAACAACAACAAAAGCAACAAAAAGAAAAGCAAAAACAACCTGTTGGCATTTGTGTGCTTGCCCTTTGGCAGGCCCCCACCCCCACCCCCCACTCTTTTGGCTCCATTTCTTAACCCTCACGTGCCCCTTTATTAACCGTTTCAGCGTTCAATTTGCCACAGTCTGAATGAACTCTTAAAAGTGCCCTGACATTTCACTGGGGGTCACGTGGCTCGTGCGAACCCTCCCCCCTCCCCCCCTGGATAGGGGTCGTCCTTATTTATTCGAAACTCTCTGTGTCGCTCTCTCTCTCTCTCTCTGTCTCGTTCTCTATTCCTATCTCCCTCCTCGAGTCGGGTACCAAGCAACAGTTGACGTAATTTGCAGGTAATATGTGGGGCCTGGCCTGTTGCTTCTGTTTTTTCCCTCCACCGCAGACATTGACCAGAAAGGAAACGCTACTCCATTTCTTGCTCTTCATCTTCAGGTTTTTCTTCTCGTTTTCGTTCTCTCTTGTGGCGGCACTGAGAAAAAAAATATGAAGAATATAGAAAAATATAGAAAAATAAAGAAAAATATAGAAAAATATATAGAAAAATATATATAAGTATATAGAAAAATTTAGAAAAATAGTATATTTGACGAACGATGGTTCTCGGGACTATTTGGAATTATTTAGGGTACGTTTTGAGGCCAAATTTTCGTGATAATTTTCTATAGGAAGACTGCTGTGGACTCCGCTGTTACACAGGACACCCCGCAGGTAGCTCTGTTAACACGATTGGAACGGGAAGAACAAGTCGAGAAGTCAAGCATAGCAGCGCGGCAGCGCAGAAGCGGAATAGCAGCAGAATCCAGATCTTGCCGGGAACGGCCTCTGTTAAGAGCAGCGCTGGCACTCCTGTTAGCTGTCAACAGTGCTGTCTCTTCTGTTAAGGGCTGACAGCGCTACCACTTCGTTTAAGTATTAACAGCGCCGGACTCCTGTTAAGTACCAACAGCGCTGGTCCCCAGTTAAGTGTTAACAGCGTTAGAAGTCCTGTTAAGTAAGAACAGTGCTCGCCACCTTAAAGTGCTAACAGCGCTGTTGTGTGCTTAGAGCGCTGTCATTCCTGTTAAGTGTTAACAGCGCTGGGACTTCTTTTATGTATTAACAGCGTTGGCACTCCTGTTAAGTGTTAACAGCGCTCTGGTGCCAGCTCGCTCTCGCTTTCGCTCTCTCGTGTGTTTTGGTGCGCTCTTGCGATCCACACGGCGTTCACCGTTTAAGGAGAATTTAAGCTAGTTGGAATCCATCCACCTACGCCACAATCTGCCGTCTTTCTTATGCCTTTGCACATTTAAATATCCACGAAAATATTAGACCTCTTATTTTCTACATTTTGCGGACTGAATGAATTCTAGTTCATTTAAGGATTATTATTATTTTATAAATAAAATACACAAAAAAAAAAAAATATCTCTTTCAAAGGGTCTTAAGCCCTTATTTAATTATTTTATTTTACTAAATTTTTGTTTAAATTAGTTATAGAAACCAGGAATTATGCGTTAAATATAAAGAACCTCTGTAAACCCATTTTCTTTCAGTGTGGGTGTGTTTCCTGCACAAACGATCCAATCGAGTCAGATATTGATTTATGGTATCATTCATGGTGCGCTTGTCATTCAAACCATGCCTCAATGGAGTGTAATATAAAACACTCACTTTGTCAAGCACAAAAGAGTAAAATATATAGGCAAAAGAGAGAGAGAGATAGAGAGAGAGAGAGAGCGAATGGAACGAGTAAGAAATCAATTAAATTTGACACTTTTTCTATGCCCGAACAGAATGAGAAATTAATTAAATCTCCTTGCCCCCTGCCTCCGCCTCCGCCTCCTCTTGTCTGCCATGTCCTGTCTTCTGTGTCAAGTAAATTGATTGGAACCAAACCGAAATGCAATTTTAAACCAAGCCTCCCTCGGGCCCGAACATTTCCATGGCTCGAAAAGGACCAAAAGCGGGGACAAAGAAGGAGAAACATATTTCTGCACACATTTCCTTTGCACTAAACGTGATTGAAAGCGGAAATTGCTTCATGTTCTTTTTTCACTGCATCTCTCAGCCTCTCCCCCGCCTCTCCCCCGCCTCTCCCCCGCCTCTTCCCCGCCTCCCTGTTGGACTGCCTTTCTTCTCTCGTTTCTGGCTTCCGTTTGATGGCCGCAAACTGTGCAACTGTGCCGCCAGAGTCTGACTGACTGATGACTGGCAAATCGTGTTTTTCAATTGACATTTGCTAGAAATTGTGTTAGTGACCTCCGGCGCCGCCCAGGAGCGCCGCCAGCCCTCCTTCGACATCCTTCGCGTTGAGCCCAAAGTGTTGGATGATGCGATTATCGCAACGGGGCTCAACAGACGCTTTCGATGGCTGTCTGTCGGTCGGTCGGTCGGTCGCTCCTTGGTGTCCCTTCGATTTCCACCCATTTTCAAGCCAATGCCTTTGGTCACGGGTACTCTGGAAATGTGTTGTGGGTTGATTCGAACTGGGGAGACGATTGGAAACGGGAGTTAAAGGTCTTGGATAGGTTGGATCACTAAGGCCTATATAGGAACACATGATGTGAATTTTAACGTCTAGTTATTCACATAATGTGTTTTTTTTATAGGCTTTTGTGATCCCTTTAAGATTCAGACCTATCTAAGAGACGCGAAGGATAGATAAATATTATTTAAAAAATATTAAACAAACGAAGAACTTAACACACAACAGTATAAAACTCTGTCGTCTGTTTAAAATAAAATATTTATTTAAAAGTGTGTCATTTATGCACTTAAAAGTTCGTTAAGTATTTGATACCAATATCGTAGGTTTAGGCTAACCCGGACGGCCTTCAATGGGGCCTCGCAGAGGCTAGTAGGGCCTTTGGTTATCCGTTTAGGGGCTCTGAACAGTCGCTGGAGTGCTTATGAGGCTTGAGAGTCCTCGAGTATCGAAGTGTTTCAAGAAATAGTTCCCTGGACCTCCTCTTGGAGGTATCTTCCAGTGAAGCCAGGACCGGGGCGCTCAGGCATCATCTCCTTGCCCCTGAGAGATCCGGGCAGTTGCAGAATAGATGTTCCAGGGTTTCGATGGCCTCAGGTGTCTACTACTATTATATGTGCCAAAAATATCCTCTTCTTCAATCTCCAATCTTCGATCTTCCATCATTTTTTCGTTCACTTTTATAGAGTATTCGCTCTTTGACTTTTTCCACAAAAATACTTTTTATAGATAGTTTTAACAAAAAGAAAAACGTACATTCCTGGTGCTACAAAGTTAATGGAATTAAAATTGATGCTCGATAATTGAATCTACGGGGCCACAGGACTACAGGGCTACAGGACGACAGGGCTACGGGGCTATAGGGCTGCGTGCCTGTGGGCCTGCGTGTCCCCTTATGACATGAGGCCCTCGTTCCGCAGAATGGCCGTCATGTCGAACTGCAGCAGGACGATTAAATACGATGTGGCGGCACTCACGGTCTGCAGAAGAGTTTATTGAATGGAAAGTTACCAAAAAAAGGGCGGCAGGCAGAACTTACCGAAAAGATGAACGTGTAGTCGAGGGCGAACAGGCCGATGCCGTTGAACTGGAAATAGCCCTCCCAGTGCAGGAACTGCAGGGTGAACGATTTCATCTTGTTGTAGAAGAGATCGTTGCTCAGCATGAAGGCCGGCTTCTTCTGCATTATCTCGTGGACAATCATGGCCGACTGCTTCGAGTGGTTGTTGGCGTTGCAGCACAGCCGGAGCACGATGTAGGCCACCACCATGGTGGTGAAGCTCCAGATGACATACAAGTACGTCACGTAGTCCAACAGGCGGCTCTTGCCGCTCACAATGAAGTTCACCTTGGTCTCCAGGAAGATGCCGAAAATGCTGACCACAAAGCAGGCAGCCATATAGGGCACGCACTGGGGACCGAATTCCCCGTTCGTTATTACACTGAGCGAAAGGATTTTGTCGTGCAGTTTGAACAGGTCCGGCAGATTGGCCTCGGAAGTGTTTCTGAAGAGGGATTCGAAGATCAGAAATGGATTGAAAGGGTCAAATGGTTGGGATAGAATTTTGTTTACAAGAATCTTTGATATAAGATGTTTTTTTTTTGCATGAACTGGTGAGCGAATCGAATCGCTCGCTTAAAACGGCCTGAACAAAGCATTTTTACTGCGAAAATTTCGGTTTTTTCTTCTCGCTCACTCCCTTACTTGGTTTTCTGGTAGAGGGAACGGGATGGCAAGTGGATAGCCAGCTAAAAAATGGTTTTAAACGACAGAAACATAAACTCTGATTGGTTTACAATATTTCTAATGGGAAAAGAATTCTTTAAATATTCCAGGATGCTGACTGTGACTTTTCTAATAATGTTGAAGCTGTCTTAGGACCAAATCTCGCCTTTAATTTGGTTAAAAATTCAATGCAAAACTGGGTTATGACTAAAAGATTCATCTAAAGTGCCCTCTTAATACTTTTTGTTTGCTCTAATGTTTGTACTAAAGTCTAAACCTTCCAAAACTTTAAATTTTGTAATATTTCAAGCTTTAACTTTTGATTTTTCTTTTTGTTTTGTGGATTTTAATTTGATTAAATTTGAAATTAAGATTGAATCTTCATACTTGCATCTTTCATTCATGGATAAAATCCACTTTTAGTGTCTATTAAATTCCACAAAAATCTATCAGTTCATTTAGAAACAAAATCTACGTTTCACATTTTGGAACAACAAATGTCCCAAATCACGAATCAAACTTTTTGTCAGAAACCCCCACCATTTCTAGTAGTCAAACCTCGTCTCACCCTGTATTCTCGACAATGGTGGCATTGTCATAATCAAAATCGTCCTCGTCCTCGTCATAGCTGCTATCCATTTCGTCCTCCTCGTTCTTTTGTTGGCCCTGCGGTGGTGGAGGCGGTGGAGCGGCCATTTGACGTTTCATTTCGCCGGACAACTTTTGCTCATTGCCAAACGATGGCCCTCTCGAGTCCATGGCCGTGGCGGGCGTTAGGTTCTTCCGCTCCTGCTTCTTGCCCTCGCTCTCGATATCGAACACGGTGAGCGGGGCGTGTCGGTGGCGGGCCTCCTGGTTAATTTTCTCGAACAATGTGTTGATCTGCTCAAAGCGCTGCGAAATGACGGACACATGATAGATGAACTCGCCCTGGATGATACTCCCGGCCAGATAGGGGAAACTCGATACCATAAAGGGGATGAAAGCGTAGTTGCCAAAGGTGCTGCAAGGGTAAGAAAAGGTGAGATGTAAAATAAAGGAATTTTCGGGGGGTTTTCGGTGTTTAAAACCATGATTGGAGGGGCTACAAACGTGCGGAAAGAGGTCTCCAAAATGTATCCCTCAATCTAGTACTAAACTTCAAAGCCAATACCCGAATGGATCCCCTACTTCATATTTACTCACAGATATAGTGCCCTGATATCGTAGTAGAGGGCAAAGGCAAACACACAGAAGAGGAACAGCCAGGTGAAGTGGTAGGCCACACTGTGCTTCACCGCCGTGACCTTTACCCTGTCCATTTCGGCCACATGTCGACACTTCTGTATGACAGCATCGATGGCGTTCAGCCGCTCGTCGAACTGCAGAAAGAAGTCCTTGCGCCGATAGAGACTCATCAGGGTGACGGTCAGATAGAGGAAGGCGCCCAGATGCATGAATAGGTTGTTGCTCAGGCGACACACACTGTTGCAGGCATCCAGGAAGCACAGGCCAAAGGCATGCGTGAGGTTGATGAGAAAGTAGCAGCCCAGATAGAAGACGGGCACCAGCAGCATCATCGCATAGTCGAGTATCACATTGGACTCCGATTGCTGGCGATTCAGCGGAATGAGACCTATGGCCTGTTCAAGAACAGGAGGGTTAAAGAAGGAGGTACTCAAAGAATTGTGGAAGGAAATGGTATTACCATTGAAAACCAGTTCATAATTTGTATCATTTTCTGTTGTTTCTGGGGTATTCCCTGCTCTCAGTGCTCCAAGGTTTCCCTTTCAGCTCACTATTTGTACTGAACTTGTCGGGTTGTCGTTGGTGGCCCCCAAAAGGGTTAATATTTACCTTGTGTACTCTACTCCATCAATTGTTTGGATAATGAAAACGCTACGATGGCTCGCAGGAGTGGGTGGATAATGCGCATATGTTTAAGATAAATATCTTCCGAGTGGCATGGCGCCTAAAATGCTTTTAGCTTATTAAATGTGGACTGTTCCAAGCACTGTGAGAAATATTTGTGGCATCGATCGATTCCCAATGAACTCTAGATGGGATTTGAGATATGTTTGTGGATTTCATGTGCCAATCAATACGGATTCGATTGATTATCATTAGCTTTTCTGGCTTTTAAACCTTAAAATTAAAACCTTTTTTTGTTGTTTTTGTTGTTGGCTTATTTTCTTGTTTAAACCAATCTATTTTTTAAGTGTATTTTCACTTGTATGTGCAATTTATTGATTGATAATATTGCTGGCTCTTGCACACTGGAAAAATTGAAGCTTAATTGTAGGTTTCATGACATTAACTCGTTGATAGCTTAAAACAAGCTAAATAAATTGTATGATCTTTATGATACTATTAAATTTTTTTAACAAAAATAAATAAAACTAAATATTATAAACAAAAATATTATAGAAACATATATACGAAAATATTATCAAAAAATATATAAAAATATTATAAAACAATATTATAAAAAAAATATCATCAAATTTTATACAAAAATATTATCAAAAAAATTATTCAAAAATATTGTAAAAAAATACTATAAAAAATATTATAAAAAAATATTATAAAAAAATATTATCAAAAAATATTATACAAAAATATTTAAAAATGAGATTAAATAAATAAAATATTAAATATTATAACAAAATATTACACAAAAATAGTATCAAAAAATATTATACAAAAATATTATCAAAAAATATTATACAAAAATATTTAAAAATGAGATTAAATAAATAAAATATTAAATATTATAACAAAATATTATACAAAAACTTTTTAAAAATGAGATTAAAACAAACCTTTTACATATATTCGATTTTGTATTTGTCTAGTTATTGAATTAATTAAAGCCTTGAATAAACGCAGCATTCTTTGTCCATAGCTCCAATCCGTACTTTCGAATGAGCTCAAAATTCAATATTTGGCTTGTATTCGAATGCCCTTTGTTTTTATTGTATTATTCACCCATAAAATATATATCTTCTTGATAACATTAGTTGTTTGATTAGTTCCGAGTCTTAATTACTTGCAGAGCCTTGCATTTCCATGCCACTTATTCGAGGGCGTAATTGGTTTTGTTGCTTCCCCACCTACGACGTGTTTATCCAGTTGGTTCTTCTATGCTGTGCGTTCGAGCTGGGAAATCTAATAATTTCCACATATTTTCACCGCATTTTACTTGCTAATTAAACAATTATAAGTTAGTGCCGCCCAACACTAAATTACCAAGTAAGACAACAGTGCCAACAGGATTCCAGCATCCTGCCAACTAGCGCACGACATTCTCGCCTAAGAAAACCAATTAAAAGCAAAGCCTTTTCTTAGGGCTGAAAGAGCCGACTGGGGACTCCCAGCTGGGGAGGGAGGGAGAGGGGCGAAGGACACCCCAACTCCGGAGATGATAAAATGCAAATTTCCCCTGAGTTGAGCACCGGGGCTTTGGGAGGTGTTGGAATGGGCTGCGGCTTGCTTACAACAGTTACAACTATAACGAGGAACGGGAGGACATTTGGACTACAGGATACCCGCTAGTGTCTAGGGAATGATGGGGAGTATACCCCTATTCCGGCCTTAATAATTATCCAACGAATGAGAAGTCGAATCACAGCTCCAGATGTTGTGAAAGGTAGAAACCAAGTGGAGATTTCTTGATACGAAGAGCGGCTACAGAGGCTGATCCTAAAACCCTAATACACCATATACCCTAGTAATCGTATCAGGTAGAACACGACCTGGCCCGCCAGTGCCCAAGTTAAAGGTGTTGGCAGCTGCCTTTTGCCTTTCCTTTAGTTAATAATTAAGTTTGCATCGGAGGCACGCACAAAGCAGCAACTCACGCATCCACATGTTTGCCCATGAGCTGGGGAGTGGGTAGTGGAGAGTGGGGCGAGGGTCTTATAGTTATGCCCGTGCACGCCCAGAGACCACGAACCATATGCCATTCTAGAGATGGACCCCAAAACCGAAAGAAAAGTTTATTTCTAATTTTCCAATTCATCTATGATTGGAATAAAGAACTTTTCACCATCAAAATCAATGTAACCGAAGTTCACGCCCCCCAAAAGGGTTTCACTGACCATCGTTAGCTCGTCGTTATCCAAAGACACGCTCAGTGCTTCTTCGATGAGGACAACGAGTTCTTGAAAGGAAACCGGCTCGCTCTGGTTCCGAATCAGTTCGCTGATGAACTGTCCCGTTTGATTGGAGCTCATGGTGGATCAATGGATTGTTGCTCTAAGATTAATTATGACAAAAAACAGGCTATAGACTATAGAGTTCAGAGTTCTTGTTGGATTTAATACTCACTGAACACAAAATTGAGTTTTCAATTGAAATGTAGACTTTTTACAAAAATTTGATGTGCCCTTTGTGATGTTTAGTTTGTTACTGAAATGGAATGGTGTTTGGAAATGTGTTCCACAGCCTGCCTGCTGACCTGGCATATCATTTGCCGTTGTATTGTGAACGATATCTCGGCTGCTTCGACCGATGTCATGTGAATGGACTTCTAGGATAGCTTTGTTGACTCGTGTTTGAAGTTGGGCGCTTGATATGGGGTATATTCAGGGTCTAAAGCACCAATCAGTACTTTCGGATGAGCGGGTTTTTTAATATTTGGCTTGTAATCGAATGAGAGGCGGAGAAACGAAGCGGCTGTAAGTTCTTTTCCATTTTCTCTGTGTTTCCGGCGCTCTTTTCTCTGTTCGTTGGTCTCGTGCCTTTTGTGGCTTGGGATTCACGCAATTCAGACATGCTCACACGCACATTTTGGGTATCTTGCTTTATTCGTTCATTTCGTCTGTTCTTTCTGGTGTACCGCTTCTTTATTTTCATTTACTCGACGGCCCAAAGGCATTATTCACTGAAAAAATTGATCAAATTCTTTGGTGGTGATAGAAAAGTGAAAAATAGTTTAAAAATTCATAAAAATTTGATCGAGTCGTTTGGGAGAAGTTCCACAAGAATCGGGACACGAGATGTAACGAGTAATAAAGGATATTATGTTATTTTTAATTGCTGAATGGCTTTCCCTATATAATAAACTCCATTGTGCTCCGCACTCCATGTAGATACACGCAACCATCTCTAGCTCCCTCCCCGCCCCGCACAGCAGCTCAAACTCAATGAAACCAAGCTTGTTAATATTTGCCTTTAGAGAGATGACGCTGACGATGGAGACGATGGAGACGATGGCGGCGATGGGGACGTGGCCTTGCCTCCACTAGCATTATCCGCACGGAGCGCCCTATCATTTGAGGCTTTCGCCGGGAAGTCTTTTAAAACGCTGCCGTGGCGCTGCATGTAAATTTGATACCGACATTAGATTAGTTTATTGTTGTGCTCAGTGTGTAGTGATTGTTATTGCCTTGGGCTTGGGTGTCCGCTATAAACACGCCCGGCGATGCAGGAAATTCTCAAAAATCGTACCCAATGCGCTTTATGGGCAGAAAAATCCTTGAGCCGGTCCCTCGTTGGGCTCTTTTTATATTTTTGTGTGTTTGCTCCCTTTGGCGGTATCAATAAAATTGCGGTCATAAAGTGTAACCGTAATGGTCCTCAGCCTCTTCCTTTGGGCTCTGGCCACGCCCCCTCTCCGCCCGTCCACCCGTCCGTCCGTCTCCGGCTGTAAGTCACTCAATCATGTGGCATGGCACACACTTTGCTTTGCTTTGCTTTGCCTTGCTTACAATTTTCTCTCTCTCTCCCTTTCCCTTTCCCTTTTATTTTTATTTATTTTCTCCTCTGGCTTTTCTGGCTTGTAATGAGCTTGTTTGCTCAAGATTTTGGCGCAAAGATTTGCCTAAACGCTTTTCTTTTTCCCTCCTCTTCTCCCATTTCTTTTTTTGGTGCGGACTCAGTAGATGTTAAAGTGGAACATCTTGGCCCTGTTAGAGGGGGGCAAAGAGAGAGGGAGCGGGAGAGTTCGGACCAAAAACTGTGCTAGACCCCCCCGGGGCTTTTGGTGGAGTGTTGAAGTTGTTCTGGCACTTGGGCTATGAAATATACTCGTACTTCTAGGCCTGTCGGAAACAGGAGAAAGGGCCTTACCCAGGAAGGGAGAAGGGAAAAAGTTTGCATTTAATTTTCGCTTAATTTATTTGAAATGGTTTACCAAATCAATCCTTCAAAATACATAGATATAAAATAGCCTCGTACGCGTAAAAATCACACTTGGAAAAAAATCCGACTGCCTCCCTTCGCGAAATCCTGGGTACGTCCTTGAACATAGGTATTTCTTTCCACTTACATTCTATATATGGAAGTTTATGAGTAAATTTATTTCTTTCTATAAGAATTTCATCGTCACCTTTACCTTTGAGAGGAGTTCGATTATAGCAGACTCTTGGGTTAAAGCTTTTATGATTATTGACGGATATAGGAAATTTACAGGGGTGCTAGAGAGTTTTTGATCACCAAAAATATTTTAATGGGTAGCCAGTTGATGGCAAGAATTTATAGGAATAATAATAAGAATCAAAAAGAATAATTGGTCTTAATAATAATAATTATAATCAGTAAAAATAATTATAAGAAATATAAATAATTGTAATAAATAAAAATAATGATAGTACATATTAATAAAAAATAAATAAATAATAAATCAAAATAAATTAATAATAATAAATGAACAATAATAAATGAATAATAATAAATGAATAATAATAAATGAATAATAATAAATGAATAATAATAAATGAATAATAATAAATGAAT